CATACCCGTTGTAGGCCCGTGTGGCGTGGGCATACCCGTTGTAGGCCCGTGTGACGTGGTCATACCTGTTGTAGGCCCGTGTGCGTGGGTCAACCTGCTCTGTTGAGGCCCGTGTGGCATACCTGTTGTAGGCCCGTGTGGCGTGGTCATAAACTGTTGTTAGGTCCGTTGTGGCCATACCTGTTTGTATGCCCGATGTGGCATACCTGTTGTAGGCCCGTGTGGCATGTGGTCATTACCGTTTAGGTCCGTGTGGACTGGGTCATACCTGTTGTAGGCCCGTGTGGTCGTGGTCATACCCTTGTTGTAGGCCCGTTTGTGGCGTGTTCATTCACCTGTTGTAGGTCCGTGCCTGTATGGCGTGGTCATACCTGTTGTAAGCCTCCGTGTGAGCGTTACACTGGTTGTAGGCCCGTTCGTGGCGTGGTAATACCTGTTGTAGGTTCCGTGTTGGCCGTACCTGTTGTCGGCCCGTGTGGCTTGGTCATACCTGCTTGTAGGGCCCGTGTGGCGTGGGCACATTACCCGTTGTAGGCCGTGTTTGTGACGTGGTCATACCTGTTGTAGGTCCGTGTGGCGTACCTGTTGTAGCACACGTGTGGCGTGGTCATACCTGTTGTAGGCTCCGTGTGAGCGTGGGCATCACACGTTGTAGGTCCGTTGCTGTGCGTGGGCAATACCTGTTTGTAGGACCGTGTGGCGTGGGTCATCCTGTTGTAGGCCCGATGTTGGGCGTGGTGGCATAACCGTTGTAGGTCCGTGTAGGTCCGTGTGGCGTGCATACCTGTTGTACGGTCACGTGTGGCGTACCTGTTGTAGGCCGTGTGGCGGTGTTCATACCTGTTGTAGGTCCGTGTGGCGTACCTGTTGTAGGCCCGTGTGGCTTGGTCATACCTGTTGTAGGCCCGTGTGGCGTGGGCATACCCGTTGTAGGCCCGTGTGGCGTGGTCATACCTGTTGTAGGTCCGTGTGGCGTACCTGTTGTAGGCCCGTGTGGCGTGGTCATACCTGTTGTAGGCCCGTGTGGCGTGGGCATACCTGTTGTAGGCCCGTGTGGCGTGGTCATACCTGTTGTAGGCCCGTGTGGCGTGGTCATACCCGTTGTAGGCCCGTGTGGCGTGGGCATACCCGTTGTAGGTCCGTGTGGCATACCTGTGAGTCATTGACTTCCTGCAGAAAGCTTTTCTTGCTGCCGTCAATGCATCATCTAAATGTTTTAAAGCTGTTATATTTAGTGTAATTGTTTTGTTCCGTGACTTCTTCGTTCATTGCATTAGCTGTAAACCGTGCTGTCAATTGAGTGTTATTAAGGTCATGGTGACCTCCTTCTCTTCAGGCTACAATAATGTTAAAATGTCCTGCACTCAGGGGTGCTGTGAACCTTTTACACTTTCCACTTCTGTGGCATGTGCTTTGTTCAGGTGTAAAGGGAATGGCCTGTGGTTGTTATGTTGGGGAACTGCTTTGATCAGTCCCTGTGCACACACATATGAATGCACCGGACGCAACATGTATTAACTCTGCCGGGAGTCACATTGTAGTCGTTGGATTGAGATTGTAGTAAATGCTTTTCTCTAAAAGCCTTTATAACTAACTCCATCATGTGACAATCAAAAGGTAAAAGCCCCACATGTTTTCTACAAAGGCAATTTCACCTGAGAACAGTTTTAGTGTGACATCTCTTTTAAAAAGAGAAACGCCTGCTCGACTACTGGTGACGGAAAAGGAGTGTATCGCAGGTTTCCCCGTGTTCAGAAACCTAGATATACGTAACATTACAATACGTTTATTTGAGCTGACACTTTTATCCAAAACAACTTAGAATAAGTGCAATACATTATAAAGATACTCGGAACAGCAAGAAAGCTATATTTGCTTTAAATAAGACAAACGACTGTGATACAATATTAAAAAATAATTAAATTAATTATTTATTAATCATTATTATATTAAATTAATGATACTCAAATAGAAATAGACATTTAAAAAAAACAATTCTAAAATTAAATAGTAAAAAAAAAATATATAAATATTATTATTATTTATTTGTAACTATTTAATTTAAACTTTTATTAAAAAAAAATGTTATATTATATTTAAGCAATCGCTCACTTCAGGGTAATTAGCGAACCCATATTAGACAGAGAGCGTTGATCGATTATTTGGCTATTTATTTACATTCATTTGTATGTTGCCGTTTATTGTGCACCCACTGAAAAACTGTCCAGCATCGGTAGCATGGCTTACGTGGTTACTTGTATAGGTTGAGGTTGTTCTAGGCCAGGGGTGCCCAACCAGTCGATCGCGATCGATCGGTCGATCGCGGGGAGATTCCCAGTCGATCGTGAGATGTGTCTAAAAATAGAACAACAATATTCGGTTTTATCGTTAATGTCCTATAACATAATCTTCCTGTGCCAGAATAATGCACTTGAACGCATCAAAGCTTTGTGATTGGCCGGCGTGAGCCCATGTGTCGGGGGCATGGCTGGTGGGGAGTGCACTAGTTCGCTGACGTTGTCCGTGTCAACAGGAGTGCCAGTCCGCACACAACGCAATTATGGCAGAAGCAAAAAAGCCCAAATTATATAATTTTCACTCCGAGTGGGAGAATGATTATTTTTGTATCTATTCCAATTCAAAGTCCATCTGTCTCATCTGCAATGCGAGCGTGGCTTTATCGAAGAAGGGTAATTTAGGAGCGGCATTTCAAAACAGTGCACAAACGCAACGAGACGGAATTCCCTCCTAATTCTGCCCTACGCTCCAAAAGGGGAGGGGCCTGAAAGGACAGCTAAATGCACAGCAGTCCATTTCCACCAGGCCCAACAACAAGAGCAAGGCTGCTACCAGAGCATCTTATCGTGTCAGTCACGTTCTTGCGAAACACATGAAGTCTTTCAAAGACGGCGAAGTTGTGAAAGAAGCATTCCTGGAGGCTGCCGACGCGCTTTTTGGGGACAGTAAAAATAACAGAAGCATTTCAACAGGTTTTTGATATAATAAAAACTCAAGTTAGATACCGTTATTAATCAGCTGTAAGTTTCAGTTTGTTTGAACTTATTCATTATAATTATTGTACAAAATGGTATAAGAATGCAAACTTAAATTGATTATAGTCTATTATCAATTCAGGTTAAGAAGCTAGTGTTGCTTGCATCCTATTTTAAAGGCATTTATTTTTATAATCTACTAAAATGCAACAAAAAAAGGGTTTGATTCTATTAATTTTGTCTTTTTTATTGCACTTTGGCAGCAGATTCCTGAGTTGTCTTATTAGTAAGCCTAATTTTAATGGCAAAGAAAGGGTTCAGAGTCTTTTATTTTTGTCCTGTGTCATATGTGGCAGCACTGTTCAATGTTTCTTGAAAACATTACCCACTGTAGTGACGTGTGCATAAACTCCAACTCTGTATCAACAACACTGTTGTGTAACTTCAGTTAAATACTTGTGTGTGTGTAGATTAGAAAGAGGTAAGATAAAGGATCTGCAGTATTTTATGAAGTATTAATCGTGCAAAGGTCAGTTTTATACAAGTAGAAGTGTGTATTTACCTGGTAGTAGGCTGTCAGTAATGGCTACGCCTCTCTATTTGGACTGGTAGATCTCGGCAGACTGGCAACTTTAAAAGTAGCTCTTGGTTCAAAAAAGGTTGGGCACCCCTGTTCTAGGCTGTTGCTTGGCGTGGCGAGAATATTGCTCCACTTTCTCCGGTCCCCGAGATTGGGCTTCCAGTAGCTCTGGAGAGAGCTTTCGCACCTGTGGCCACTAACGGTCATCATTTCTCTGCTTTGTTTCAAGACCCGAGTCAGAAAGCTTTTGAATGGTGGTACTTTTCCAGTTGGTCTACCTGCTCTCACGTAGCTCTGCATGTCGTCGTTTAGGTGCTTTTTCTTCTGAAGATAGGCACTCCTCAATCCACTCCTCCATAGTGAGACCCCCCCGGAGGTCCAAGTTAACCTTAAATGTTTCCATCTTAAGCTTTGTTAGTTAGTTAGTTTCGTAACGGATGTAATGTAGCGGTTGTAGCTTTTTCTCAGACCCGGAGGGATACTGACTTGTGAAAAGTAACTACAATTCTACCCGTGATATACGCTCATTATATCATGGCTAAGAACCAATCAGATTGCTTGATTTGACTTTTCCGTTTTATAATTCTATTTTTGTATCATTCATTTCTATTTCAACTTATTTTTAAATCGTATTTATTTCTGTTGTGTTATGTGTAATAACGTAGGTGCCGCCGAGACAGGTTGGCTTTCATTTGGCGAAGAAAAAATCCACCTTTTTTGACGTTCAAGATACTCAAACTATAATAATAATGAATTCTATTTAGAGGCGCCTTTCAAAGCAAGGACACCTTACAATTCATAAAATATTCGAAGGAAAGGTTTAAGAAAGTACAACATGACCGTAGCAGGAGACATGTAGCACTACAGTGAGTAGGATTGTGTTTGCAAAGAGTTGTTCGAAGTAGGGCTGTGCAATTAATCGTATTTTAATCGCAATTATGATTTTGGCCTGCCACAATTACGAAAACAACATAATCGAAAAAAACGATTATTTTGCTTTGCTTGGTTGTGACAGTGCACTGCAACATATTTAATCTAATTTATGTTAGTCTAATTTATTTGTATTAATCATATTTACATATGTTTAGTAGCTTGTTGAAGTGCTCTCCAAAATATTTGTTGATCTTGTTAATTGGTATTTATTATTTTGATATTATTTATTTAAATGTAAATGTATCATTTATTTTTGTATTGGTTTTTCAGTTGAATTATACGTTCAGGGTGATCAACAGTTAAAAAGATACTGTTCAAATTATTATTTGTATTTGTTTTAAAGTTCAATAAATGGATGTTTTCAAAGTCAATGAATAATCGTATTTAATAATCGTGATATCAATTATTGACAAAAATAATCATGATTTTTATAATCGCACAGCCCTTGTTCTAAGCATCAGTTAATTAATGGCGCCACTTTGTCTGTGTTTCAGGGGTTGAAGTGTGAGCCCAGTTTGCTGCGCTGCTGCCACCTGCCCTGTGGGGAACGTCCCATCGACCAGGCCGTCAACATCTGCAACAAACTGCTGCTCGACATCCGGCGCCACATCAAGAAATACTACTCCGTGAGTACAGCTCTCCAAATGACAAAAACTCCGCTTCACACACACTCAAAACCACACTGATGTATTTACTACTTCACCAAGAGGAGGGTAAACGGAGGAGAGGGTTAATGTGTGTAACTGCATTTTGAGTTAATTGACTTGAACTGGCAGAAAAGCCGATGTAGAAATACAGGTAGAAATACTACTCCGTGAGTTCAGCTCTCCAAATGACTACTGCTGCAAAATTCTGCTTCACACACACTCAAAACCACACTCGTGTATTTACTGCTTCCCCACCTGCAGGGACGCAAATGGATTTCATTTAGTTTTTTATTCAGACTCCTTTAATACTGAAACTGGTTAGATTAGCGCAGCTGGCCAGCCCATTTTTTTTACCTCTCTGAATCATTTTTCCTCCAAGGAAACTTCACAAAAACAAATCTTTTCAAAACATGAATAAGAAATATGAATGAAATGTAAATTTTTCGCACCCTACCACTGTTTCTAGAATATCAAAACATTGCTAAAGTCACTTAATTATACTTAAGCTGACTAAATCAAAGTGTTCTGATAAACTGCATGTAATAAAATAGTCAAAAACATGTGAAAATTGACCCTCCAGTAAGTGTTTATGGAAAGGTTGGACTGTATTAACACAATTTGGGATTCAACAGCAGCGGTAATAATAAAAGAGGCCTTTTAAAACTGAATTTGGACGAGAGATGAAGGAAACCTCAGCAGGGCACTGCGCTGACATTTTCCACCAAAGACCACATTATCCTCGCAAAATGAAAAGGGCAGGAGAGAGATTTGAAGGTGCATGATCCGTGAAAATACTTAATAATTCTTCCTTTGAATACCAAGTTTAACATGCACTCTTTGTCAGTTTTTTTATTATGATAAGGTGACATTTAAATGATACTTCTGGGGAAACGGCCGGAACTAAAAATACAACAAATGTATTGTAACTTTAAAGATCAGGCAGATTTGTCTCAATTATCCAGGGATGCTGTTTGCTTAAAAGAACACTTCCTATTTCCTACACGCTTCACAGGGTGAATACTTTTCTACAGTTACACACTTATTGACATCTCAGAAGCATGGAAGGACATTGAGCTCTATATTGTAAGCCACATTTACACTTGGCTGATTAATTTGGGTTTCATCAGTCAACACTGTGACACTTTTCCATGTCTCACAGTGGCTCTTCTATTGGCTAGCGCTCCAACACATGAGAGGCTAAGGGGCGGGACATCTCTAAGCGGTCGACCAATCACAACAGAGCCGGCCAGCTAACCAATCAGAGCAATCTGGGCTCTGGTTTCAGACAGAGGGTGAAAAGAGGTGCTGCAGCACAGGCAGTATGAGGACTCTTTAAAGTAGAGACACTACATACTGATATACACCTGAACATCAGCAGGAGAGGACTCTTTAAAGTAGAGACACTACATACTGATATACACCTGAACATCAGCAGGAGAGGACTTTTTAAAGTAGAGACACTACATACTGATATACACCTGAACATCAGCAGGAGAGGACTCTTTAAAGTAGAGACACTACATACTGATATACACCTGAACATCAGCAGGAGAGGACTCTTTAAAGTAGAGACACTACATACTGATATACACCTGAACATCAGCAGGAGAGGACTCTTTAAAGTAGAGACACTACATACTGATATACACCTGAACATCAGCAGGAGAGGACTCTTTAAAGTAGATACACTACATACTGATATACACCTGAACATCAGCAGGAGAGGACTCTTTAAAGTAGAGACACTACATACTGATATACACCTGAACATCAGCAGGAGAGGACTCTTTAAAGTAGAGACACTACATACTGATATACACCTGAACATCAGCAGGAGAGGACTCTTTAAAGTAGAGACACTACATACTGATATACACCTGAACATCAGCAGGAGAGGAACTCTTTAAAGTAGAGACACTACATACTGATATACACCTGAACATCAGCATGAGAGGACTCTTTAAAGTAGAGAACTACATACTGATATACACCTGAACATCAGCAGGAGAGGACTCTTTAAAGTAGAGACCCTACATACGGATATTACCCTGAACATCAGCAGGAGAGGACTCTTTAAAGTAGAGACACTACATACTGATATACACCTGAACATCAGCAGGAGAGGACTCTTTAAAGTAGAGACACTACATACTGATATACACCTGAACATCAGCAGGAGAGGACTCTTTAAAGTAGAGACACTACATACTGATATACACCTGAACATCAGCAGGAGAGGACTCTTTAAAGTAGAGACACTACATACTGATATACACCTGAACATCAGCAGGAGAGGACTCTTTAAAGTAGAGACACTACATACTGATATACACCTGAACATCAGCAGGAGAGGACTCTTTAAAGTAGAGACACTACATACTGATATACACCTGAACATCAGCAGGAGAGGACTCTTTAAAGTAGAGACACTACATACTGATATACACCTGAACATCAGCAGGAGAGGACTCTTTAAAGTAGAGACACTACATACTGATATACACCTGAACATCAGCAGGAGAGGACTCTTTAAAGTAGAGACACTACATACTGATATACACCTGAACATCAGCAGGAGAGGACTCTTTAAAGTAGAGACACTACATACTGATATACACCTGAACATCAGCAGGAGAGGACTCTTTAAAGTAGAGACACTACATACTGATATACACCTGAACATCAGCAGGAGAGGACTCTTTAAAGTAGAGACACTACATACTGATATACACCTGAACATCAGCAGGAGAGGACTCTTTAAAGTAGAGACACTACATACTGATATACACCTGAACATCAGCAGGAGAGGACTCTTTAAAGTAGAGACACTACATACTGATATACACCTGAACATCAGCAGGAGAGGACTCTTTAAAGTAGAGACACTACATACTGATATACACCTGAACATCAGCAGGAGAGGACTCTTTAAAGTAGAGACACTACATACTGATATACACCTGAACATCAGCAGGAGAGGACTCTTTAAAGTAGAGACACTACATACTGATATACACCTGAACATCAGCAGGAGAGGACTCTTTAAAGTAGAGACACTACATACTGATATACACCTGAACATCAGCAGGAGAGGACTCTTTAAAGTAGAGACACTACATACTGATATACACCTGAACATCAGCAGGAGAGGACTCTTTAAAGTAGAGACACTACATACTGATATACACCTGAACATCAGCAGGAGAGGACTCTTTAAAGTAGAGACACTACATACTGATATACACCTGAACATCAGCAGGAGAGGACTCTTTAAAGTAGAGACCTACATACTGATATACACCTGAACATCAGCAGGAGAGGACTCTTTAAAGTAGAGACACTACATACTGATATACACCTGAACATCAGCAGGAGAGGACTCTTTAAAGTAGAGACACTACATACTGATATACACCTGAACATCAGCAGGAGAGGACTCTTTAAAGTAGAGACACTACATACTGATATACACCTGAACATCAGCAGGAGAGGACTCTTTAAAGTAGAGACAACTACATACTGATATACACCTGAACATCAGCAGGAGAGGACTCTTTAAAGTAGAGACACTACATACTGATATACACCCTGAACATCAGCAGGAGAGGACTCTTTAAAGTAGAGACACTACATACTGATATACACCTGAACATCAGCAGGAGAGGACTCTTTAAAGTAGAGACACTACATACTGATATACACCTGAACATCAGCAGGAGAGGACTCTTTAAAGTAGAGACACTACATACTGATATACAACCTGAACATCAGCAGGAGAGGACTCTTTAAGTAGAGACACTACATACTGATATACACCTGAACATCAGCAGGAGAGGACTCTTTAAAGTAGAGACACTACATACTGATATACACCTGAACATCAGCAGGAGAGGACTCTTTAAAGTAGAGACACTACATACTGATATACACCTGAACATCAGCAGGAGAGGACTCTTTAAAGTAGAGACACTACATACTGATATACACCTGAACATCAGCAGGAGAGGACTCTTTAAAGTAGAGACACTACATACTGATATACACCTGAACATCAGCAGGAGAGGACTCTTTAAAGTAGAGACACTACATACTGATATACACCTGAACATCAGCAGGAGAGGACTCTTTAAAGTAGAGACACTACATACTGATATACCCTGAACATCAGCAGAGAGGACGCTTTAAAGTACAGACACTACATACTGATATACACCTGAACATCAGCAGGAGAGGACTCTTTAAAGTAGAGACACTACATACTGATATACACCTGAACATCAGCAGGAGAGGACTCTTTAAAGTAGAGACACTACATACTGATATACACCTGAACATCAGCAGGAGAGGACTCTTAAAGTAGAGACACTACATACTGATATACACCTGAACATCAGCAGGAGAGGACTCTTTAAAGTAGAGACACTACATACTGATATACACCTGAACATCAGCAGGAGAGGACTCTTTAAAGTAGAGCACTACATACTGATTATACACCTGAACATCAGCAGGAGAGGACTCTTTAAGTAGAGACACTACATACTGATATACACCTGAACATCAGCAGGAGAGGACTCTTTAAAGTAGAGACACTACATACTGATATACACCTGAACATCAGCAGGAGAGGACTCTTAAGTACAGGACACTACATACTGATATACACCTGAAACATCAGCAGGAGAGGACTCTTTAAAGTAGAGACACTACATACTGATATACACCTGAACATCAGCAGGAGAGGACTCTTTAAAGTAGAGACACTACATACTGATATACACCTGAACATCAGCAGGAGAGGACTCTTTAAAGTAGAGACACTACATACTGATATACACCTGAACATCAGCAGGAGAGGACTCTTTAAAGTAGAGACACTACATACTGATATACACCTGAACATCAGCAGGAGAGGACTCTTTAAAGTAGAGACACTACATACTGATATACACCTGAACATCAGCAGGAGAGGACTCTTT